ATGATAGAATAAGCCAAGCAATAAAGTGAAATGGTAGGACCGCCATGAAACCAGTAGATCCACCTGCTGAAAGGGCTAGACGATGGGGTCTGCAGCACCTGCCAAAACAAAACGGAAGGTACCCTTCCCAACGCCCTGGAATGACAAACCGAAACCAATGAACAGCAAAGGTTTGGTGCTTGCCAACTTCTTTGATGCCACGGGACAACTGCTTCTCCATAGCTAAGTGTTCACTTGAAGGGAAAGGGCTTCCTGGTATCAAAGCGGGAGCCAACCAACCCCGTGCAACCAGCGCAACCCTGGCTCCAACAGGTGTTTTGAACTTGGGCGAGTTGCTGAAACACAGCCCTGAAACCCTGAAACCAAGGCTGGGTGAAAATTGGATTAAAGTTCAATCAGGGTCTGGTCGCCTTCAAAAGGACACCTTAAATATTAAATGCTTGGGCTTAGACATAAAGCAGTTGGTTGGCCCAAACCAGGCTGGAATCCGCGTTCCAAATTCAAGAGCTACTAAGTAGTTGCCAACAGCGCTGCCAGGCGCCTGGCAGTTGCTCAGTGTTTACCATGGTTTTCAGCAAAGAAGAAAAATCGGGTGGGGGGGGGGTGGGGGGCGGGGGGCATTGGATAGCAAACGTTGCTGGCGCGCAAGGCCAAGCTTCGTTCCAGCATGATGAGTCCGCGCACACATGCGCACACAGAGACATACAGAGACACAGACACACAGACACGCAGACATGCAAACACACACCCGCACACCGACACGTGGCCAAGCGTCCTTAAAACGGGTGGCACTCAATGACTGGAAGTTGGTGAACACGTTTCTCCTAAGCCAGCTGAAACGAAAGTCTCGCCATGGTGTGTATGGCAAGATGAACCCACGCTTGCACCAAAGGTGCTATCAGTGGGTGTTCTGGAGGTCCATGAAGAGCCCCAAGCCGCATGTGCTTTTGCAGAGGCTAGCCGAAGCTTTTGCCAACCAAGACAAACTTACCGCCTTGACATGTGCTGAACAAGTAGTTTTGCCGAAGCCACTTTTGTCAATATTGCATGACGCCAACGAAATGCACCAGGCGCCCAGTGGCGTTGTTCCCAAGTAGTTGCCACACCTCCCGAAAACCCGTCTTCATGGGGCCTTCATGGTGGTCGTTGGCAAAACATGGGGATCCGTTTATGTTTCACCCAAAAACCACATCGGACACACTGCAAGCACTCCACACTCCAGCTCTAAACATGGCTCTGTCTATTTCGTTGAGGACATCCTTTTTGGGGTTGACTCAACAAGAAAGCCATTTTTGGTTGGACCGGCAAACTGTTCAGTGGTCATGTTGGGGGTTGTGGTAAAGAGAACCCTTTGTTTACAACTTGTTGGGTTTTTAGGGGTTTGCTGCATAAGGACAACCATGGAAGAGATGGGCTTGTCTTACAAACCAAACCTAAAAATCACCCTCCCACCCCTCAAGTGAAGCAGCCCATCAATACGGAGGGGGTTCTCCCATCTCCAAAACGAGGGGCCATGTAGAAACCATGAAACGGTCCGAAGTACAGCAAGATGAAACCCAGCCTGCGCCCGCGCAATTCCCCCATGTTGGTTTAATCATCACCTTGATTGACGCACATAAAGGCTATACTTTCACCCTCGGCTCACATCACGTAGCATGACCCCTTGACTTCCAATCGAGGCCCCAGCAGGACCGCAAACGGAGGTGGAGCTGCCGGTCATGGGGCGAATGCCTGGCCCCGGAAAGCTTGCATTTTGACCGCAAGTTCCAATGTGGATGGGGAAATGTGTGTTTTCTTGCTGGCTCTTTTTTGGAGTAGCCCCAAAAAGGGTGGTTTTCAAGGGAAACCAAAGGGGTAGCTATTTTTGAGGTCCCCTCATTTCATCACACACCCAATGAACCTTTGAGCGTCCGACATGGCATCCAGCGCCTCCCAACATCGGGTGACAGAAAGGATCTCACTTGAGAGGATCGCCCAAGATTGCAACCAATACTGTCCGACTGTTCGGAAAGTTTCTACTATGAAGTCCAGAAATTGGTAAAATGAGGGGTGGTTCCCACCTCTGCGAGAAAAAAACAAGCTGTCAAGTGGAGGTGTGTTTTTGAGGGGACCTTCTCAATGGTTAATTTTAAAGGGAACCCGAAAGGAACCGCCCGTTTTGCGGGCTTCCCTATTTTGACACGAAGCGAAGGACAAACCAAGTGGCAAATGTCCGGCCAGCTCATGCAAAACTCCCATGTTCTCTGGGCTGTGGCATGGGGATGGTGAACGTCTTACTGTGCATCCAAGGTTGCAAAGTGCCGCTGTGATTTATATTGTCCAAAAGCAGGTACCCCCACTGACGAACTAAGGCTCTCCCCAGACTCTTGGGCAAGGCTCTCACTGGAGGCTAGATCTTCAAGGCACAGAGTTCGCCATCTAGTACCGGGACATCACCCTAACAGCAAACTCGCAAGGAACACAACACCGCCAAAGCGTGAAGGTAAAACTATCCAAAACCAGAAAACAAATTATGGTTTTGAACAAATGCTTCAGCTCAGCCGCGAGTCGAAAACGCGTCCCATCGAATCGATCCAATCGCCTTTGCAGGTGAAGGTGGCCTCGCTGGGAAAAAGGCCGTTGTTCGTCAGCCTGGCTGTGGAAGTCCTACGACAAATGAATGTGACGAAGATCCGGGACCCCCAACATGGATAAACGCAATGGTGGTGTTCCGTTTGGTTTCCCGTCAAACCAACGTGAAAGGGGCACCCTGACAAAAGCACACGCTCAAATCAACCATTCGCTGAACCTGTTGGGATTGCGCAGGATGGGAATAATGAGGGCTTCATGGTGGCCCTCCCCCGAACTCGTTTTAACCCACAGGCTCGCAAATCAAAAGGAACGTGGTCTTCCCAACGGTGCAGAATCAACAAAAACGGTCCATTTTCCGGTGACTGAAGTAAGCAGCATCCAAACTCCATAAATGTTTGGTTCTATGACCCCCACGACAACCAGTAGAACCACTCAACCAAATAGGGGTTTGGGCACTGCTCCAGTGAAGCCACTGGACGTTTCTACAAATGATGGACGCATCCACGTTTGCAGGAATCGCCTTTTGCACGACCCCCCCACGTGCGGTTCCATAGTAACTACCTCAATTGCTCAGCTAGAAACGATCTTTTCACAAGCTGGTCCATGTATATATATATATATTATATATTATTCGGTACATATGAAGCCTTAAACATATAACCTCCCAGTCACTAACCTGGAACCCACCAAAAGGCCCGCTGAGAGGAAACATGTCTTCCAGGGAAGAAGGGTAAACCATGTTCAAAGGAGGTCCGTTCCAAGTTGCCAAAGTCGATGAGCCCTTCGGCCAAAGTGTTCCAACTGCCACGCCTTGAGTTGCGATGCCGGTTCAACAGAAGCCTCTCTCAGGTCTTTGACAAGCAACCAAATGCTCGCCCCAAATTTCCTTTCTTGAGAAGACCTGCAACCAGGAAGGTTTTTCTCATGGGGCACTAGCTCTCAATGACTCCAAATGGTCGGCTTTTGTACAGTTTGGTTTCCCTTTGGCTGCCCGAGTCGTTTTGCTTTCCCTGTTGCTTTCCTCTTTGCTGTCGCTTTGGTTCCCTCAAAGGCAACGAACCGGCAGGATTGCGCCCGTCGCCTCACCGACCCGAAGTTGGGCGGCGCCAAGGGAGCGCACTGCACGAAGCGCAGGGTGTCCCACTGGCCGCCCTGAGAACCCCCAAAGGCAATCGGCAAGGTCGGCGCGCCAAAAACCAGAAAGCGTGAGGACGGAGTTGCCATGTGAGGTGTGTCTTGTCTTAGGGGACCCCTCCAAAACGGTGGCTTTGCTTTGGGTTTCCCTTAAAACAGCCAAAAAAGGGGTACTCTCAAGAACAAGACGCACTGAAAAAAGGGCAGCCCGAGTTTTCACGCGACAGGAGGGCAGTTTGCCGCTTGACGCTGCTGGGAAATACGGGCGTAAATATTAGACCGCAGGTGTGGGGTGCTTGAAAAACAAATAGTCATACTCAAACGAGCACAAGCTGTGCGTAGCTATCTAGGCCCTCGTACTTGTTGAGTTGCATGGGATGAAACCCAACACCGCTCCCTTCCTGAGATGATTTTAAACACTACTTTGAACCGCTTGCTTCTACACCGGGTTGGGTTGCTCAGCAGAGTGGGTCCCTAGGAAGGAAAACTCAACAAATCAGGATAATGTGTTGGGGTTGCTTCCAGAATTGCATGGCTACATGCAAAGCTCCGCTCCGATTTAGCAATCTCCTCCTTGGTCAAATATTTAGGTGGACACATGAACCCTTTACTTTGTCTTTCAAAGCAAGCAGCAAACCTTGTAGTCAATCAGATTGGTTTCGCGGTTTTGGATCGGCTTTGGATAGGGCGCTCCCCGTTTGGTTTCAAAAGGAAGGTCAGTTCAAGTCCCGAAACCACCAATCCAAATGTACCAATTGAGGGTTCCAGGGTCTACCCAAAAAAACGTCAATATAAAACGCAAATCTCGGTTTCTGCGCTAACATTCATCTACCCGATGCTGGCCCGACTCCAGAGGAAAAGCTACAGGCTCTGACAAAGGCCTACGAGGCTGTAGGGAACAAACCATGTGCCCCTGAGAATGTGCCCCTAAGGAAAACACATCCTTGAAACTGAGAGACCCACCTAGCGGGTCTATCAGTAACATATTGGAGGCATCCGAATCCTGACGAGAGGTGTACCTGAAACTCCAGCCTGCAACAGGGTTCCAACCAAGAAACATCACCAACCACCAGAGAAAACTCACTCAACTCACTCAACCTGGAAGCCTCTTCTCAAAGATCATGTTTTCAACCCGCACGCAAAAAAGGTAAACTAAAGACACGGACCCCAAACGGTCGCTCGTTGTCTGAGTTGAAAGACAACTCCATCCCCAACAAACAAGTCCACCAACTCGAGTTGGATGCGTGTGAAATCTAACCAGCCCTGGTCCGCACTCCGCCCATGAAAACCACAGCCTGCATCCCCGTGCCGCGAAGCACATCCACCCACGCCTGGCAACGATGAGGTGGCAGGAAATTCTGCACAAGGGGCCTAATGGAATTTGGCCCCAAAACATAGGCCCTTAGCCTGAAAAAGAACAAACGCCAACCAACACAAAAAAATAAACTACCTTCCTCTCAGATGTGCCCTGACATGGAAAGGTAACTGGGTGATTATGCCATGTCAACATTTGCGTGCAAGGACTCTTCTGGACAGGTTGGGGCACATCACCAGCATCATCCAGGGCTGCCTGGCTGGCTGGGGCAACTATTAGTCCCTGAAAGTAAGGAAAGCATCAGAGCTGAAAGATCAAGAACAACGATATAAAGCTGTTTATGTGTTTGTGTAGTGCCTGAGCTTTGCTGAGAAGAGATGAGTCCTTTCTAACAAACTAGAGTAACCCTCACACGCGGCGAAGCAACATATTCCTGGAATATTATCCCATGGAGGCTTCGATCACACCCCTTGCCTGTTCTTCGCCCCAGCGTTGCAGGCGCACAGCGGTGGCCGCGAAATCGCGATCGCCCCACTGGTAGAGCTGCAGGCACATCACGTTCACCTGCGAGGCGATGAAATTACAAGTAAGCCTTAGCTCGATAGTGGAAACCCGGGATTCATAAACAAACCCCTGGTTGATTGCTAGAGAGTGTTTCAGTCAAGAGGAAATCTTTCACTTTTACAAAGCCGAAGTGAATGTGGAAGAACATTTCAGGTGACACCCCTGGATTTAGCGAGTAAACCACGCACAATCCATATAAAATTGCATGGTTTCCTTTTTTTTTAATGAAACCGGACGTTCCAATTTGTAGGACTTTTCAGGTATACATGGGTTTGGAGGTATAAAGTTCAAATAAACAACTTGTCAAGGTCACTCGGGCATGATTTTCCTCTAATAGCTGAAAGCTACGGGGAATGGTCTGGAGCAACTCCAAGGTCGGGTTCTGAGAAGGTCCCAAGCTTCGGGAATGCTTTCCCCGAACTTTCTGCTGGCGGAGGTTCCATGGAGCAGTTGGACAGGGCTCCAAGGTTAAAGTTGCAGGGGCGTTCCATGGAGCTGTGGCCGAATAGGGTTTCGGAAGGTTCCAAAGGCTCGGGGTTGCCTTGGATGAGATTCTGGGCCTGTTGTGGAGGGTTCCGGAAGGTATGGCAGGGCTTGCTGTTCAAAATTTGCATGAGGACTTGTGTCCACCCATGTCAAGGGTACCCAACCATTAAAACAGTCATAGTCGGGGTCAGGACTGCAAGGGCTTGCTTCATATTTCCCACCCAAACAGTACCCTGCTCAAGGAGGCAAACCATTTGAACCCAAGACTAGTATATCACTCTCAAGGGCATTCACAAAGGATATCACAGAAGAAGGTGCTCTCCCTCTTGTTTCACATTCCCAAGAGGTCAAAAGGCTCATAATAAAAACCTGAAATTAACGTGATCTACCCCATGTATGTACAGAATCAAAGGACGGATATCTGCACCACTTTACGGTTGGGACCATCCTCTAAAACCTTCGCGCTTTGATTGTAGCTCATCTGTAAACTACCCCTTTAAAGGAAATAAACACAACAACAACAACTTACACCCTGAGAAGCTTGAGAACTGTTTGTCACGCTTTATCACACATGTTCAATTCTTTGTCCGCCAAACACCTCTCCAGTGGGCTCGGACTCGGGCCTCCACATCGAAGTGCAGAGATAGCGAGGCCTGGCCGCGGTCGAGATCCAAGCGGTTGCCTTTGTCTGTTTGTCTGTCTGCCTGTCTGTCTGAAGTCTGTATGTCTGTCTGTGTATCTGTCTGTCTGCATGTCTGTCTGTCTGTCGGTCTCTCCGCCTGTCTGTCTGTCTCTGTGTTGTCTGTTCTGTCTGTGTCTGTCTGTTCGTCCGTCCGTCCGTCTGTGTCTGCCCGTGGCTGCCTGTGTCTGTTTGTCTGATACTATGTTCGTCTGTCCGTCCGTCCATCCGTCCGTCTATCTGTACAAGGGTATGCATGTATTTTTGTGCGAGTATGTATGGTGTGTGTGTATGTGCATGAGTGTATGTGAATATATGTATATATAACTTCTGTCCAGATGGACCTGTCACTCGCCCCACTGGTCAGAAAGCCCATGCGTACCTTTTAGCACCAAAAGGTCAGGTTCGGTTTCGCCACTGATGCCTGTCTCAGGCCTGAACTATGTACCCCTGAAGTAGGTAACTTGGCCATCTGTAAATGCATTACCTCTCCATGGAAGCAATATACATCAATGCAATTGGGTGTGTGTATGCATGCATGCGCACGCAGAAGTATGTGTGCACTCACACACACACACACATGCACTCCCAAAATGATCCATGCACCCACCGCCTGCCCCACCTGCCCCAAGCCCCGCGGGCGTGCCCCCCCCCCCCTCCATCCATACATGCATCCATCCATCCATGCATGCATGCATGCATCGATCGATCAATCGATCGATGGAAATGGGGCTATCTGAGCACAACATATTTATACACAATCCGGTGCGATCTGCACAACTAGAATCTAGGATATTTGCTGAATGTTTCAATGATCAAGTGTTCCCGCCTCATTCTCCAACCCTACACCCGCCTGGTCTTCCAACGCATGTGTTTCTGATGTCAGCCACCCATATGCCATACAGTGGATGGACAAATCCATTTCGCACCACTTGGAAACCATGGTTGAAACCATTTACAGGGAATCATCCAAAACCAGGTTCGCTTAGGTGCGAAATGGACTTCGTAGCCTGGCCGCTTGTTTTGGCCGCGCCTCGCCGACCTCGCAGATGTGACACCCGGAGCGCCACTCCGTGATCACCTGGCCATCCTCGAGCCACAGGTCTCAGGTCCGTAAAGCGCTTGACAAGGTGCGTGCAAAGCGAAGGTGCCCTTTGACTGGACTACCGACCCTTTTGTTGGAAGAGATGCCCCACCCTACGAATGGCGATTTCGGACCAGTCCGGTGGAAAATTCAGAAGAATGGTTCCTGCTTTCTAGGACTACCCCAATCATGTTCCCGTGGTTGCACTTAGTTTGAACTTTGGGGCAGCCTCAACGTAGCAAGTCGTGAAGGAAAACCCAGTACTTCCTCTCAATCCAAATGCGGTTCTTGAAGGCGTTTCGCCTGAACATCGCAAGGAACATGGAGAAGGAAAGAGACATGCCAGCGGTGTCTGCTGGAATGAACCAGATGGCAAAGATCATGAAGAATAAGCCTAACACTCAGCTTCTGCCAAAAATCTGTGAGCTTTGCGATATGGAAGGCTTTCCAGTCTGCCACTGATCGCCAACTCGAATCAAGGTTCTTGGTGCACAATTTTCAACCCACATGGGCAGTTGTATCCGAATATACATGGATGTGTCATTGCACAGAGCATCATAGATTGCTGCGACGGTTCTACCCTCCAACCAAACATGCGCATCCAAACATTGACATGGGTCTTGACACGGGTGGGGTGTTGTGTTTGGCCCTTTGCTTGCACGTTTGAGTCAGTGAACGACAAAGCAGCCATAAACGACTCATCGGAGGGCTTTCCGGACGGTTCTGTCCTGTGCGCGGCTGGCAGGCAGCCCTGGCATCCCTGACCTCCAGCTTGGAACGAGGGACGCGCCGGATCTACCGGAAACTCGGCTGAAGCAAAGGCGCTTGCTAATTATTCTGGGCATCTTGATCTTCCTGGGGAGTTGTGAAGAATAAACCACACAGGACATCAATGCTCCGGATCCTCAATCGCAGCCAGTCAACAGGCCCCATGGAATGTGGCGAGTAGAGATCTGTTCGCCCAAACATCTTCCGCTCCTCTAGCCATCTCTTGGCCAACATGGCTTTGCCATTTGCAGGCCAACGGCAAAGGGTTACCCAATCCTCAAGAGATAGCACTGTAGGCGGCACAGTTTGACACCAGGCCTTCCAGTGAGCGAACCGCCCACTTCCCTCCTCTTTGTCATTCGCTTGGCGGTTTCCTCAACAACAAACGATTCACTATGCACCCAGGGTCTGCTTCAGGCCAAGATCGTGTCTCCTTCTTTCTTCACTCTCTTCAGACCTTCAATCCCTTCAGAGCTCTAGTTGACTAGCTGGAAACAGTGACAATGCTTTTGTTGCCTTAGACCAAACCTGGCAACCAACATCTAAAGATTCCAACTTGAACAGGTACTTACTCACTTCAAACTAACACGGAAGCCCAGAAACTTGTTTTTGTCCCGAAGAAATCTTCCTTACGCATTTTTTTGCTTGGCTGCATGGTGCTTTTCGGGGCACTCGGCTCCGACTCGCGGGCCGGCATTTGCCGCGTCGGCCCGTGGCCCCGCGCCCCTCCAGGCGCGGGGACAGCTCGCTCTGGCAGGCGTCGGAGAAGACCCGCAGCTCCGCGATGGCCCAGCCGTAGGTGACCTCATGCAGCGCTTCTCGACAGCAACTGCTCGCCAGTGAATCCATTCAGGCGGGTCATTTTGCCCCCTTTGGTGGAAAAATGATCGACCCCCTTGTAATGAAGGATTCTTTTTTGAGGGGGTCGCCAATTTTCTCACAAAAGGTGGCAACAAGACCCGCTGAATCCATTTGGATATGAGGGGGTCTCCAAGAAAGTTTGCTCACTTCCTGAGTGAAGTGCTCCCAACCACAAACAAAAAGCAACTTGATTACCACCAAAGCGGTCTTCCCAAATAGAGGAAAGCCCATGGGCTGGATGTGAGGGTGTTTTCCTCTTGCTTAGCCTCACAAAACACGCACATGCACACGCACACGCACGCACACACACACACACACACACACACACACACACACACACACACACACACACACACACACACACACACACTCACACACACACACACACACACACACACACACACACACACACACACACACACACACACACACACACACACACACACACACACACACACACACACACACACACACACACACACACACACACACACACACACACACACACACACACACACACACACACACACACGCGCATTTTGGTTGTGTAGTAGATAACCAGTCGCTTTCGGATTGGTCGTGCGAGGTCGCCACTGTTGGACAGACACAACCTCCGCACCAGTCCGCATGGACGAAACTCTATGACTGTCGATTTCCTCTTGGACAGCCATCTCTGGAAACCATGCGCTCCATGGCAACCAGGAGAATTGGACCCTGTCAAATTGGTGTGACATGGAATGTCTTCCCTTGCAGAGGGGTTTCAAGGGAAGCCACACGGAAACAACCTTGAAACACCTTGACCCAATTCTGGGGTCCAAAATCAGATTTGTGATTCTCGCCAACCTCGCAATACAACATCTGCGTGGCCTTTGCTTTTGTGAGGTTACCTTTCTTGTGTTGTGCAACAATGGGAAGACAAAAGGAACCTGCGCTTCTGTCTTTAATCTTCTTTTTTTTTTTTGGGGGGGGGGGTGGGGGAGACAAAAACGAAAATCTCCCGGCCTGGGCATCGTTCACCAGGCGCCAGGTGTCGCTCTGGGAGAAGCTGAAGTCCAAGGGCGTGCTGGCGGCGCCCCAGGCGATGCGCGCCACCTCACGAGTTTCGGCCACCGAATATAAGTCGGTGGCTTGCTGCTAAACTTTTAGTGGTTCAACGGAAAACCCATTAGTTGGCTAAAAGTTAAAGTCCTAGCATCCAAGCAAAATGCACCAAACTTTTATGCCATGGGCGGCATCCACAGCTTTGGGGCAAACAAACATGCCAGGGGGGGGACTGAAAAACCAAACCCAAACTAGTCTATAGATGATCATAGAGGTAAACTACGCATTTGAAATGGTGTTGCCATTGTTGCCTTTATGTTGATATGGGGGCTTCTTCAAATAGGGGTTGACTGCGGGTTGCTCTTCTAAGCAAAATGCTGTTCAACTGTCAACGCCAATTTGTTTCCGAAAGGTCTGAGGGGCGATTCGGCCACACCAAAGACCATGAAGGAATCTAGCCCACTTTGGAAGAAAAACCCAACCTGCAAAAACCATGGATTCCAGTGTAATAAGTAGGACATGCTGTTCGCCCTCAAAGGAAGCCATGCCAAAAGCTAACAACCCGACGTTTCTCCATGCCATGCTCGGTCAAGAACCCGGCCGACGCCAGCGACGCCAAAATGATGCGCGCCATCGGCCATGGCAGTCGGCTGTTTTATTTTGTGTTGCGTGAGGTGGTGTTTGTCTCATGATATTGTTTGCAGTGTTTGTGTTTCGATCAAGTGAGTCACAAAAGGTCAAAGGTCAACTGTCAATTGCCCCGTGAAGTTTGGTTTGCTTTCCCCTGCCCGGTTCTTGCTTGCTTTTCCACTTTGTCAAGTTGAGGTTCACATCACACACAAGGTCAAAGGTGAATGGGGAGACTACGATGAAGGGAACCCAAAATGAGGATCCCGTCTCACCAACAAAGTGTTGTGTGTATGTGTGTTTAGGACATGGCTGTATGGTTCAAATGTTGGGCCATGCGCTCAAACCGGACTACAGCGTGAGTCAGAATCAGAGGAGTGGACTCCAGAAGCCTGTCAGGTGCCCTTAAGCCATCGCCCGCCAGGTCTCCATAGCGCTTTAAGACTGCCACATATCCAAAATTAAGGGCGTGATTCCATTTGAGGGTCTTGGACACTCCGCGGCCAACACCCAAAAGGAAGCTCACTTGCAATTGGCGCAACAGGTGTTACAGTGTACAACACGCAAGAAGGGGAATGCAGGCAACCTGCAGGCAAAGAAACAAAGGTGCAAGGGCACCGTCCCCAATTCTCAGTTTCTGACTCATGTCATATAAAATTGGTATACATTCAAGATACGTCTGCACCAATTGCTATGAATCAACCTGAATGACAAATCCCAAATTAAGGGACCTTGGTTATTAGGTGATCTCATTTTAGTCCAGGTGAGATTGCTAAATAATAAAACTCCATGCTTGCCAATTTCAGGTAGCCTAGCAAAGAGCAACCCTCACGTGAACCGTACCCACTTGTTGAGAGCAGATTGTCCGAAGCAACCTTGGTCGAACGGGAAGTTCCACCCGGGTCCATTTCAGCCATCAGGGTATCTAGAAAAAAACCAAGGATCGCTTCCCCAACCTGGCAAAGGGCACCTCCCCATTTTGGAACCCCTTTCTAATGTGTCCTTTGAGTCTGTACAGAAAAGTTCAAGGCCACTGAAATACGAAAGCCTTCACAATTAAAGTGGGAACCATCCCCTGCCTGTTTGGAGGGCTTCACTTTGGATAAATCCGGACTCGACATATCCGACTGAGATGTGTCGAAATATATCCGACTGAGATGTGTCAGTCCCCCTGAATTGACTCCCGGAGAGGAATTTCAATCCGAAGATTCAAAAAAGATTCCCTCTGAGGCATACCTATGCTGAAACATACCCATGCTGCAGGGTTTACTGCTTGCCCCCCTCCAAAGAAGAATGCGAATCTTCAGAGTACATAGTTTTTTCTTCTTTTAGCAAAGCGGGCGGGGGGCAACAGGCAAGCTCATCCCTCTCGAGGTTGTTCTTCTCTTAGTTTGTGACAGGCGTTCTTGGCTCACTTCTCTGGCAGGGAGCCAGTGCATCTTCAACCCACTTGGTTTGCCCAGTGCAATCCGCAGTGGCTTCCAAAAGTATGGGGTCACCCAACCCTGTTCTCCGAGGTTGAACTCTGGCGCGCACACTTCTCTAGTTGGCACGTGCTGCAAATACAGAGAAGCCCTCATGTCCCCGTATACTCTCCGTAGGCACCCCCAACTGAAAGCGAAAGCATGGTTCAACAAGCACGGAACCCGTGCGGGAAAAAAGCAATGCGGAGGCAATGAAGCCTTCACTGAGTAGTACAAGGGTCCAACGCTCAAAGGAAATTCCGCAAGGTCTCCAACCACTGAGACACGGCAACTGCAGGGAAAAGCACATGGTTTCTCTCTGTCTTTGAGGTGCTCCATTGAGTATCGGCTATTCGCATAAGTTGATTGAGGACAATCCTGCCTAATACTCCCCACAAGTTGAAAAGGCGGTGTCTTTTTTGAGGGTACCCCTCTTGTATCCTTTTAAAGGGAAACCAAAAGTAGAACCACCAAGTTGGGGCGTGGGATCCGCAAAAAAAAGACGCCCGAGAGTATGCTTTTTTCGGCCAAACTATTCCCCAGAGCAAGTTATCCCACCCCTCCACTCTTTCCTCGCGAGCGAGTTGAATTGCGCGGCAGCGCCGCAGCGCTGCTGTGCCTAGGCCACGCCTTTGGCAATTCCTTTGCGCAGCTTCGGTGGATGCCTTTCCACGTCTTTTCCTCTACGCCACTGAAAAAGACTCGAAGTTGGAAGAAATGCATTCCTGTGGCATGCAAACAAAAAAACAGTATGACAACCCCCCTCACAGAAAAGCAAGAAACACGGCAAACAGAGTAACACAAGCCATTTAGAAGGTGCCATTGGATGTTGGTGAGTCACTCCCATGTCCAAATGGTGTGTTGGTGACTGTGCCCCATGCTGGACCCTTTTCTAAGGCAAATGACTGTACATACTGACTGCTACATTCGAGAGAACTGCAAATGAAGTCACTGAACTGCAGTGGCCAACATTCGCCACTAATTGCAAACGTTTGCAAGTGTCTGCAAATATCTGTAAATGTGCTGGTCCTTTCAAAGCCTAAGGTAAGGGTCAGTCCCAAGCAAAGGAATCCATCGCAAACCCACGCTTGTTTCAACCCTACTTGAGCTGCAACAACAACGATGCGAGATGTGAAATATGGGATGCAGGATGTGGACGCAAAACACACATGGACACCCACATACTCACACACACACACACGCCTGTGTTCTGTGAACGCATACCCCTGAAGTTCTGACACAAGGAAAAACCAGCACCAGCCCACAAGAAGACAGAAAAGGTAAGTGAAAGTAGCTGCGTGTCAAAACCCACTTGCTCCAGCAACAAAAGGCAGGCCAAGGAAGGCTTTGATCATTGGCATGATTTTAGAGTCGGAATTAAGGCAAGGTCAAATCTCGAGCTAATCTATGGAACTCAGCTGTTGGCCTGCAGACCATTCTGTACTGCCGATCCTACCAAATGATTCTAAAAGCCAAGCGTTTTGGACCATTCAGCAGCCAAAACACCCTTTGAGTTGAACTGTAAAGCATTTTTTTTTTTTATCAGCTGCCATTTCAAGGGCCTGCCTTGGAGGGTGGAGTTAAACAAACATAATCAATAAGTTGGCCAGTCTCATCGAGTGCAAACATGCAGTTTCATGCTCCTTTGCGGGTCCGCGTCACAGTCAAAGCATTTTTCTACACATAAGTCGGGGGTTGTGCCATGCATCAATTGATCAGGTCATCATCAACAATCCCTTCCCCGTAATAAAAAACGCAGACCCCCCCTCCCCTAATAATAAATAACGACTCTCCGGGGGACAAAACGAATTTATTAATAGTCCTGTGGGGTTGACCGGATTTCCTCTTCGGTCCTCGTCCAAATGGTCTCCCCCCCTTCCCGGACACGAAAAACCTCACAACCGCAGTTTTCCGAGTAACGAATTTAAATAAAACCGTTCAAGGTTGTTTGTTCGTTCTCGCGGTTCAAAAGTTAAAGGGCGCAGTTTAAACTTACAAATACAATTCAAGAAATAGATGTAAATTAGTAAATGGCAAGTATGCATTTAGAACTTGGTATTGGGTTGGTGCAAGGAGCCCCCCAATAAGGCTGAGGCTGATCTAGGAGGAGACATCGGACAGTTTAGTATTGGTTGTGAATTGGGCTATTCTAAAAGTAGTATTGGGGGTTGCTGGAAAAAAGGTATTTATCAATGGGGTCTATTTATTAAAAGGGGGAAGGGATTATGAGAGATGCTTGAGCAAAGCGATGGCCCAACACCGAAACTCATCAACCTGCAAAACCGGTAGGGGACTACCAGAATTGTCCGTTGCTGACTTTTCAAACTTGTACCTCCAGTAGCAATCTTGCTTACAACCAAACAGTATGAGAAGCGCAAAGATTAAGTTATTGGGGCATGACTAAGCTTAGATCATCATAAACCAAAAGGTCAAAAGGTTGGCTTTTGACACCATACCTGCTGCTTAATTTGCTGGACCTGGAAACTCCAGGCTCATCTATTCAATCGCTTCGGGCTTCCTTCACGAGCTAAAGCTATGGTGTCATGGGGTGCCCAGCCTCGAAACTCGCCCAGTGGCCCAAGAAAAAAGACTGCACACCACCACCCGCTCATTTCTGCGCAAAGGGGTCATACCTCGGTGGCGCCCAGCAATAATTATCGGGCGTAGAGATTCAAGCCCGGGGCTTCTTTTGGACGGTGGAAGGTTCGAAATGTTGAAAAACAAATGAACCCATAAATGGATTTCTGGAATGACCAACTCCCATTTTCAAGGAGAAGCAACCATTGATCATGGCGTAATTGTGGGAAAGCTTTCGGCCCCATCAATATGGAACCACGTTCGCTGGCCCGTAGGATCCGTGGTTGATCAACGCTCCATTTCTGCAACCGTCCATCTGCTGTCGTTGTTGGAGGGTACCCTGTTCGAGTCTGAGAAGCATAAAGAAGCTCTTGGGCCATGACTAAACTTGCATCATAAACCAAAAGATCAAAAGGTCTGGAGTTTCCAACATCTGAAGGCTTGGAGCCATGCGAGAGCCTCCAAGTTTGGCAAAAGGCTCTATGAAAACATCGGGGTCTACCCATTTGAGCCGCTTCCAAAACCTATTGACTTGCGGTTCTGCCAACATGGTTATAAAGCTTGATTTAGCCCTTCCTTTAACCTTTATTAAAACACGTAGTCGAACCACCTACTAAAATGGCCAATGAGGATTTCGGACGCTGCCCAGGCAGACCCCAAGTGCTGCTTACTCCCAAAGGGGACGCAGCCTCACCTGGTCAGGCCCCGTGCGAGATCGTCGCTACTTAAAAGGGGGCCATTGCCAATCACCCGCTTCAAAACATGCTCAAAAACAACCACGCAGTTCCTTTTCCTCTGATTTTGACGTGGTCAACGTCTCCCAAAACACCACAGGATTGCAACCTGTTCTATTGTCATTGAGTAAAGGGCAAAGATATGAGATGGTACCAAACACTTGCTCAGTCAAGGCAACCAAAAGCGGCAAATAGGTCCTCTAATCGACCCCGTGAGACCTTCATGATTCTGG